TGTTGAGTAACAGCTTTGTCTTTCCAGATAAAAAGGTCTCCAAGGTCATAGTCCAGGTCTCCTCCATGTCCTCTACATCATAGGCCAGGTCTCCAAAAGGGAAGTCAGAACAGGACGGATTAGGGTCTTGTTGAGTAATAGCTTTGTCCTTCCATATAAAATGCCAAATCTAAATAAATGCTTCAATCCATAAAAAGCTTTATCAGCGGCAGCAATATGTTTCTTTATTTCAGGTAGGATATCATGTTTTTTGTAAAACATCGATGTCAGATAAATGGAATTTGCAAGCGTTTCAAATTTACAATCCCCAATTAAGATCTGATTCTTTAAATGGCAAAAGTTTAGAAAGTTTTTTTACCATTAGCTGTACAGCAAATTTTTGCATGCAATTTGTTTTAAAATTCTTGCAAAAAATGGAGTTTTAATATAAAGTCAAAAACAAAATTCAATTTTGTTAATTATACAAACACAATACCCCTTAATTACCTTAAAAATGGTCAACTTCTTTTGGAAACTCCCTTTTTATTATGAGCGTTACATTACGTTTAATTTTAAAATAATGCTTTATTTCATTATTGTATATTATTTTTATAATTATATTTCATCTTAATTATAAATGCCTTTAGCTATTGATTTCATTTAACGAAATACCTCATATCATTACTGAACTTATTATTTTAATAATTTACTTACAAAATCTTTCTTCTTTTAAAATTTAAGTCAGCCAGAGATGTACAATAGGTAAACAAAATAGATATAATGTAGGCATAAAAAATAAGCTTTGAAGGCGAATTGGCCCGACAGGGAACTGGTCCAAAGGCAAAGCAGCATGATGGTGAAGTGTCGACGGCGGTTAATCCCTGCTTTTTGGTTATGTGCAAAAAACCAGTGTAACCCAATGTGATATGGATAAAACCTCTTTTGAATATATTAGATTCTGAAATGGCATTAATCAATTAATGCACCTTCTTCCCCCTCTTTCTACTTATTAAATGAATTTCTGTTTTCAAGTCTCAAGTAATATCACAACTGCATACTGACGTGTTTAAACCCCTAATGTAAATACCATTTGGATACATTACTTGAATAGAGCAAAGCACACAAAGGTTATTTGCTTAAAGAGAGGAATGTCTTTGTGGAGGACTTTCTAACAGAAACGGGTTCATAGTCCATAAGAAAATAAGCCACGTACCAAAGGTCTGTCACAAACAACAGTAACGTTCTGGCAATGAAGCATATAACCTTGCAACTATAAACTTAAACTTCTAGGATTATGGACTCACCACCAATGGCAGAGCAGTAAAAGTCACTCAATATTAGTACACTCTTAGAAAGGGGGGAAAAAAACGACGCACCAAGAAGAAGTTATCCGAAAGGGACGAAAATCGGTAGAAGTGATGTACATGTACAGAAAAACAAATGATTACAGTTTGAGAAAAATTGGATGATTTATTGAAGTGATAGAGCTTCAGAAAGTGTAAAAGTCAGTAACGCATTTGTCCACCTCTGGCCCTTATGCAAGCAGTTATTCGGCTTGGCATCGATTGACAGAGGTTGCGGATGTCCTCCTGAGGGATATCGTGCCAAATTCTGTCCAACTGGTGTGTTAGATCATCAAGATCCCGAGCTGGTTGCATGGCCCTGCCCATAATGCTCCAAATGTGCTCAATAGGAGAGAGATCCGGCGACCTTGCTGGCCAAGGTAATGTTCGGCAAGCAGTAGAAACATGTGCGGTGAGGGGTGGGCATTATCTTGCTGAAATGTAAGCCCAGAGTGGTGTGACATTAAGGGCAACACGACGGGCCTTAGAATTTCGTCGACGTACCGCTGTGCTGTAATGTTGCAATGCATGACAACCAAAGGGGTCCTACTATGAAATGAAATGGTACCCCAGACCATCACTCCTGGTTGTCGGCCTGTCTGCCGGAAGACAGTCAGGTTCGTATCTAACAGACAGTCAGGTTGGAAGACAGTCAGTCAGTACCGCTGTCCGGGGCATCTCCAGACTCACCTTCGCTGGTCATCGGGGCTGAGTTCAAGGCAAGACTCATCACTGAAGACTATTCTACTCCAGTCAGTGACATTCCAGGGCGAATGAGCCCGACACCACAGCAAACGGGCTTGACGTTGTACAAAGGTCAATGGTAGTCGGTGCAAAAAGCGCCGTGACCTCAGCCCTTTTTCTGTGAGCCGTCTATGAATGGTCCTTGCGATCACTGAAGCACTAGTTGCACGTACAATCGATGAAATGATGCATCTGGGGCTGTGAGGGCCGCTCTGAGGATTGCTCGGTCTTCATGTTCTGTGAGCGGCCAGGCTTAAAGTACCACACCTCATGGTGATCTCGGTTCGCGGGAAGGGGTGTCCCCCGTCAACCCGTTCAGCCGTGAGGAGCGAGAGCACTTATTTTTGATCTGTCGCCCATAAGTGTGGGACGAGGCAGCGGTGAAACGTTTCCTCTTAAGCTCTTTGTGGGCATTTTCAGTCTGATGACCAACTCCCGGCAAATACGGAGGCATTTAAGGGTTCACACCCGGTAGTACAGACAGTAGACTGTGGAACCGGTAAAATTAAATGATCATTCACGTTCTGTCGTTTCCCTAGGCCTACCGCTTCCTTCTTGACGCTGTGCGTGGCCATCGTTCACCCATTCCTGCCAACATCCTCTAATAGCAACATCGCTCCTGCTCAAATGTCGAGCCATTAGCCAATAAGACCAACCGGCTTCTTTGAGCCCAACCACACGACCTCTCTCAAATTCTGAAATCTGCGCATATCGTTCGCGCACCTGTATGGGAGGCATAGTTACTGTCTACCTGAGTACACGGAATGAAATTCGTGAAGAATTTATGACCTGGAATCATAATTTCTCCTCTTAAATATTGTGCCAGTTGTGCAGATCAGATGCGCTGTAGCAACAACCGTTCATTCATTGGCAGCCAAAATGTAAAATTTTGCATTTTCCATCGAAACCTGTATGCACATCAATTCGTGTCCAATTTGCTTTATATCTTCTCGGCACGTCCTTTTTTTTTTTTTTTTTTTTTTTTTTTTTTTTTTTTTGTGTCTAAGAGTGTATTTCTTTTCTTGGCACAGCATTGGATTTTAACATCGTGGTGAGTCTTTTTTTTTTTTTTTTTTGTCTAACAGGTAGTTCCATCAAGACGAAGAGGATTCATCAAGACGAGAGAAGATGAATTCCCACGAAGAGGCTGCTTGCATGAGCATTTTCGTGGTTTTCCAATGTGTAATGTGGATATGTGCCAGTCTCCCTTAGAGAGTCCTTTACTGAGGCATCCCCTTCTCTGACGCAAATAACCCTCGAGTGCTTTGCATAAAACCAAACCAAATCGAGGATTATGGAAAGTAAACCTACAATGATTTGCATGAATGTGTAATTGAAATAAGCAAAACATAAATACAGCAATGACATCTTAGCAGTGTAGATCAAATTTTCAGTTTAACGTAGTGAGAAGATAATGCAAACGAGGGGAGGACAAGCTTATGAATAGCAAGCCCTCTCCAGAACACAAAACTATAGATGGAATATCTTCTCATCAAATGTGTAGAAAGCGTCAAGTCTTGTAGGAAGCATCAAATCTGTAGATTGGAAGCATCTGTACATAAAAGAATCTTCAGATGACTGAGAAAATGTGAAATCCATAAGGCATTCATCAGCAGAAGAAAAAAGAAATGTTGGAACATATTTATTATGGAGTATTAATAGTATGAAAGTATTTGTCATGTTTGTCAAAACATTGCAGATATATGAATATTCAATCACAACACTATCCTCTGTCATATTGCATTAACTTGTCATCGAATTTTGACCAAAAAGAGGATTCCAGTTAATTCGCAGCTTCCTTACTCACGCGATCTCAATTCCGCATCCTACTACTATTATAATTGTTATTAATACTAGCCGCTTAAAAATTATATATAATGATTTTATGAAGTCCAGTTACTAATTAATAATAATAATACAGATGAGAAACACAGTTTATTACTTTTAAATTGCTTAATTTATTAATCAATAACAGAGAGATCAAATTTGAAAGAAAAATTAATTATCTTACGCTTTGACGAAGGGCAATATACGGGTGCGTACAAAATAAGAAAATATTATTTTGGGCGGTAGCAACACGTTTCTTTTAAATCGTCGATGCTGTTGATTAATTGATACATTTAAAAGGCAAATATGTTAAGCTTTGCCGACTGCCAACAACACATTTCTTTTAAATCGCTAGTTTTATGATTAAATTTGACACATGACAATATCTTACACTTTGCCGAGTGGCAATATATTGCTTTTAAATCGCTAATTTTTTTAATTAGAATTTCATTTTAAGTTTGTATAAAACATAAAATAAAGGAAAAGCAAATACGGAATTCCAAATGCCGACTAAGAGTCTGGATGTAAGACTGCGTATGTTTAAAATTTGGAGACTATGTGCCGCCGTTTTTCCATAATGTGAGGAAGACAGATTCTTCTGTTGAATTTAAACCAATTAAAAGGGCGCTATTAAGGCCACTGATCAATTAAACGACCTTAAGACAAGTTGCATATAAACCAATTAAAAGACCGCTATTAAGACCATTGACGACTTAAAAGACAATGAGGACGATTTTCAAAAAAAGTTTACACCCACACTTGAAAAGGATTACACTAGACAATTTACAGCACTGCTGCAAAGAATAAAAGTTGCTTCTTCATCAACGTACAGTCTCCTAAAATATTATTTTAAATGTACATGAATTTAACCTGTATCAAATGCATGCGACAGTCTGATTATTTTTCTCTCATATCCCCCCCCCCAATACCCGCAAAGAAATTTACTTGAGTCATTCCACTGGCAAACACATGACTTTCGTGACAGAAAACCATTTTATGAATAATTTATCCCTAAGAAATCTACGTTGCTAAGAAAAATTACAGCTAAAATTCAAAACATAAGATTTAAAAAAAAAAAAAAAAAAAAAAAAAAAAAAAACAACTTACGTTCATCTTCGTTTTCGATGTCAATTTGTTGGCAGTCTTTAGGCAGCGTACTAATGGGGCATCTATACACAGCACCGGAATGATTTGTACCTGGTTGACTAGTGGAGGCACGAGGTGAGCCCACCAACAACCTGCAACAGAAATTCTGAATATAAACTACAGAAAGCAAAAAGACTTCCAATGCACAAAATTCAAGAAAGCAAAGAAATTAAATTCAACGAAAATATAACCCTGTGTACTTCGTTACTTTTCAGTCTACTTGGGCGAGATGCAGTGGCGTAGCTAGGGTGGGGCAAGGGGGGACATCTGTCCCCGGGCGCAGCATCCAGGGGATGCCAAATTGATGATACACATTTCAGAATGAAATGTTTTCTATTCTTGGAACACAGAAAGGGGCGCAAAATCTTAAGGTGTCCCCGGGGCGCTTAAAACCTTAGCTACGCTTCTGGCGAGATGCTTTGCTATTATAATCTTTAGCAGGGGTGTAGCTAGAGGGGGGCAAGGGGGCATCTGTCCCCGGGCGCAGAATCCAAGGGGCGCCAAACTGATGTTACGACATTTTAGAATTAAATGTTTTCCATCCTTGGCAACCAATAGGGGCGTGAAATCTTCAGTTGTCCCTGGGCGCTGAAAACCCTAGCTACGACTCTGATCTTTAGTTGATATTATTTCATAGTTTTCACTGTCACCAGATATACACACATCATTAACACAATACTCCCAATTTGCAGAAAAAGTAATTCCATTGCACAGTGTGCTATGGCTCACAACTTCCATTTATTAAAAGAATGTCTCTGAAAATGATGTGCATATGTAGCAATTACAGTGGAAATTTTGTAAGCTGCTAATCAAGAATAGTTGGAACAAACAGCTAACAGATTTTCTAGAACACACAGCAGGACACCTACGTATGCGAAATAACTGGGATTACAGATCACTCAGATATTCGGAAATTAAGCAAATGGGGCTGGTTTTTCCAGGGATGAAATAGTAATTATAGTTTTGCCAAATGAAGGAATTTTATTTTCTTCCGTTTACTGCGCTTTATTTTGGCAAAGATTATACAGTAAATAGTAAACAAAGAATACCTTCTATTTCAATAAAGCAATATAAATTTTTCCGATAAATTATGCACACACAAAGTTTATTTTATTACTTGTTTAAATACACACAACTCATTTCTATTTAAACCAAAATTAACCCATAAAATGACTTTTTATGTATTTCATTAGGCTCTAAAATCCAAACACAGGATCTTGTTTTTGTTTTTACTGTACTGAATTAATCACAAAACCTATTATTAATTTGCTTAAAAAAATAACCTACATCTATTGAACGAAAATTAAACTAAGAAATAATTTTTTTATTGCAATAATAAAATTAACGACATAGAGGGATCCTTCTTTAAGATGACCACCTCCACAGAAGACCAAACTCGTCTTAATATGTTAATGATCTTGCAGAGGTTCACTGTATACTCTGTTCTTTATACATATTCCTTTTCTTTATGTAGTACCATTATCTATGCATAGGTACAACTACCATCCTAAAATAATTCATGTTGATTATTCCAGCCAGAGTCTGATCAAGACAATCTGCAGCCCTAGGCAAAGAGGTCTTTCAAAAGCACAAATATTTACTTTATTTTTATTTATTTATTTTCGCTTTTGTAAGAAGAAAAGAGGGTTAATTATTTACAGAAGAGTTTCGGGCTTATAACATTTGAGGCCATCAACTCGGGACTTGTGGGCCATGGTGTGATGTGGAGCTGATTTCAGGATGTATTCCTAAACATTTTGTTCTATAAAACCTATTGCGTGATACATGGCGATAATGCGTATGTTAAATTGCCTCTAGTGCGTTCAGAAGTTGTCCTTTATTACTTAATACAAAATGAGAAAAAAATGATACCAGCAGACAATATCTGGGTGTCCATTTTCATTCGTACTACTTTAGATAACTGATTGAATACAGATTAAAAAACACTTTTAAAGACATGCACGCACTTTTAAAGGTTAGGGTATGAGTATTGTGTTTAGTAGATAAACAGTTGCGTCATTTTTATAAATGTTTAGTATCACTTTTATTTTACAATGTGACTTTAAAAATTCTAAAAGAAAAGGGGCATACATGAAACGCATTTACTTTCATTTCAAATAAATCCTAACCAATTCAAAAAAAAAAAAAAAAAAAAAAAAAAAAAAAACCACATTTCAGCTTTTTCACAGGCACAGGAAGGTTATTTCTCACTAATACTTTAGATCGGAAGTATTTCGAATTCACGAAAGATAAGGAATTGAAAATAAAAATAAAATAAAAAATAATTTTTAAAAAAAATCCAAAAAATTTAAGATTTTATATTACGCACAAAAAGATTCCCCCTCCCCCATGTTCTTCGCATTAAACCACAAAATTCAATTCGACAGCAACATCACAAAATACTTTTAAAATGAGCATATCTTTAGGATTTCCGATATACAATCTCGCGCGCTGGAGATAAATTCCTCCCCCCTCTTTTTCTCGTACAGTGTTGCCATTGCTCGCTTTGAAATCGTTGAGTTTCTTATTCAAAAATTCGTTATGAGTTTCTTATTCAAAAATTCGTTAAAGTTTTACAAAATATGAAATAGATAATAAAACAAATTCCAAATTCGGGCTTTATTGAAAATTTGAGAAGTACCGCTGTTTTTACGTAGCACGCACGAGAAACATACATACATACACGCACATTCTTCATAATTTAATTTCTTTAAATATAATGCGGGGCTCTAATATTTGGTGGCAACAATTTGAAAAGTGAATCGACATTTAAGTGAACCAACGCAAAATGCCAAAACGAAATTAATAGCCTTTCTGGGCTAACGTCCTTTGGGCTAATAAATAATAAAAAGAAATAACAATTTCAGAATTTATAAAAATAATTTTATTTCTGTTCCTTAGTCTTTCCTTTTATCAAACTATGCGATAACCTCTCATTTAATCGCATAGAGTAAGACTAGCTTGTCTAATAAATTTGAAAGAAAATACATCATCAGTTCCAAGAATAAGATCGCGATATCAAATTCAAATTAATCAAATCGCCATCGTCAGTTTCATCACGATTCATAAATTTGATCACTGACATACTTTAACAAGCTAAAAGGGTACATCTCCTTCACCTCGCTGTTCGTCTTAAGAGCGAATACCTACAAATCTTAGTCATTTTTAGCAATCATAATTTCCCTCAAAAGGCAAATAACATGCAAAATACAAAGCATTGGACAGAAGTCTTGTGTCTTATTTCTCTGGGCGTTTTTTAACACGCTGCGAATAATTTCGCAATTTTAGAGATTTTCCAAAAATATTGAAATTTGAAACCTCTCGCTTTGCAGATAAATAGCTCGTGCTGACTACAACCATTCACTTAATTTATCGTAGACGTGCTCCAAATTAATTAATACGTAATTATTTATCTAAATTAATTAATTAACACGTACTAATCAAAAGTTGTAACTTCTGATTACGAGATTTTATTAATAAAATGATTATAATGGATACAAAGCATTAATTTAACAGTATGCTTCACCAGCGAGCTCTGAAATTGGATCTAAAAATCTAGATAGATCCCAGAACTATTCGTGTAAAAAAATTTTCAGATATATTTGTTCCAAAAATGCCTACTGTATATCAAACAATAACATGGTCGTTCCGATCACGTGTGCAATCCAATCTTAATAAAATAAAAATGGATGGGGAGGGGAACTATCCTTGCTATATCAGCCTCTTAGAAACGATGGAATTAAATGCCGGGTTGAAAATATGCAAACTCGTTATTCAGGATTTTAATGAGCGGCTGAAAAGTGACTCCCTTAAAACGAAAACACATTACTGGAGAAAAAAGGTCCAGTGGTAAGTATCGTATAATGCTAAGATATAATTTGAAGAAGCTAAATTTATGAATAGAGAAATACTATTTCTTAATAAGAAAAAAAACTTCACATTTATAGCGCTCGAAAATTTAATAGGTGCTCCACTTGCAGATATGCCATTTGGATTAAAATGAGAGCTGATATATCTGTTTTTACTTCCTTGTACGAAGTAAAAAGGTTGTAATCGCGAAAAGTTTCAGGCAGCGTATTTCAACGAAAATATCCCATTTTGACCTCTTTCAAATGCAATTTAACGATGTATTTCCGTGATATATGTATGTAAGAATAAAACACACTTTTCCTCCAAAAAAATTATAAAACTGCTTTAAAATGAATTCTGAAGAGAATTTTTCATGGCGTCTGTACGAACGTATGTACGTATCTCGCATAACTCAAAAACGAGTAGCCTCAGAACGTTGAAATTTTGTATATAGGACTGCTATAACATGTAGATGTGCACCTCGTATTTTGGTTGCAATCGGCCGCACCAAACGTATATAAATATATTTATATATATATCCACTCTGTTACCCGGCTCAGTGATCTCAGTTTCTTTACTCTTATATGTTTGTAAATTGTACATTTTTTGCTTTAAAAATGATTGAATTATGTTGTTCTTATCTTCCGGTTAAGGTTTTTATGCCTTTAGTAAATCTGTATGCAATATTTTTAGAATTATCAACAATTTTAAAGTTGTTTAAGTGCCGCTAAGCCTAATACTGTTTTTGATGGCGGCCATTGCTCTTGTTTACATTTGAAACAGCAGAATAGTGGATTTGTTGCCAATCTAGAGAAACTTAGCTTCGCAACAACAAAGATAACGCCTTCATTTATTATTTAAATCATGCTTAATTCTTTCTGGAATTTTTTCGAGGAAATAAGCGTTTAAGATTTACTTCGTAATTTTTAATACAGATATTTTGAGTTTTTATGTATTTTTGCCTTGTCGCGAAGTGAAAACTGAATTAATTAAATGAGAAATACTCAATCGTCTGTGAAAAACTGTTTCTTTTTTGTTTTGTTTGCTTAATTTCTTTTATACATCGTTCTAGCTTTATTATAGTATTTGAATAGAACATGTGGCAACGATTAGATAATTCTTTAAATGATATAAATTTTGTGCATTCTGAGTTATATGAACGAAATATAATACTGTTAAGTAAACCTAGCGCCAAAGCGTCGCTATGGTACACAAAGTGAATTTTAAAGAATGCATTTATTCT